GAGGGACAGCCGCTCTTGCATCAGAGAGAGTATTCTCGTCTGACCGCTCCCGTTTCTTGCTGCTGCTGCCCCTCCTCCCCGCACCCCGGGCATGCCACACTTGGTTCCAGGGGCACGCAACCGCCTCACCGCTCTCCCCTTCTTCTCACGTTTGTCATGCCCACTCCTCCTAGGATGACGCAGTCTACGGTCGCACCGAGGTATAAGATCGAGGTCCATCAGGGGAGGGTCTTCTAATGTCCTTCGTGCTTTCTTCGGGTGTTCGTGTGCATTCTGGGGGAGGGTGCCCTCGAATGTCCTCACGTTTGACCGGCGGAGGGTCTCATGCTCTTGGAGGATGTTCTTCTGCTTCAGGTCCGACTGTGTGCATCAGCATCGACCCTGGCCAGGCCAATCCTGGGCCCGGGCACCGAGCTCAGACTTAGATTAGACCCGCCATCCCTTGGGGCCTGCGCATTGCGGAACAGTCGCCACTTTCGAGGGCTGCTGAGGGAGGGGGGGGGAGCGGAGCGACGACCTACGGGGACCCAGATTTGGTCTCGCCATCCTTGGGGGGCTGCGATCTGCGAAACCGTCGCCTCTTTCGAGGGCTGCTGGGGGGTCCAGCGGAGTGACGTCGTACGGGGCGAACCGTGAATTTGTTGAGCCTTTCGAAGGCTGCTGGGGGCCCAGTTGAGTGACGTGCTATCCAACTCAGACTGATGTCTCGCCTTCTTGCCAAACCGGCTGCCACGATCAACGCTGCTTGAAACCAGTTTTGGTATGGTGGAGTCCCCTTCCCATCAGTTGGGATGCTGGCAGTTTCATCATCGTGTGTTCCTTCATGAACAAAGAGAATGATGCCTCGCCTTCGCTGCCCGCCACTCAATTCCATGTTCGACTTTGCTTCCACGCTCCCGCCTCTCGTCTGCACTCCCCCCTGTGGTCCTACATCCGTCTGTGTCGTGTAACGCGCGCGTGTCCCCCTCACCTGTCGAACTCATCGGGTTTTCTTGCCATACCTTCATCCACAATGATGTGTCCCACTGTTCTTGTCATTTCGTGAATCTGGATCGAGTGCGGCGCAGGGCAATTTTGAAAAGAGTATCGGGGTCGCGTTCTCCTTCCTCCGGCCTCCCTTCCGCAGGTGGCTGCGTACTTCGAACCTGCCGCCACTTTCGAGGGCTGCTGGGAGGCCCAGCGCGATGACGCCCTAAGCAGGTTCAGATAGAACCTGGCCATCTCTGGTGGGCTGCGGACTGCGGAACTGCCCCTTTCGAGGGCTGCTGGGTGGTCCAGCGCAGTGACGCCCTAACCATGTTCCCAGACTCAGATTCGACTACTGAGCTGCGAACTGCGAAACTGTTGCAACTTTCGAGGGCTGCTGACGGGGCCCATCGGAGTGCGGGCTTACGGAGAATCATTTTAGACATCGCCATCCATGGGCGGTTGCGAACTGCGAAGCTCTCGTCGCTTCGAGGGCTGCCGAGGGGCGCAGCGCAGCGCGGTACTATGGGGAGTTGGGCTAGACATCGCTATGCCCGGGAGGGGGGGGCGCGAACTGCGACATTGACGCTGCTTCCCAGGGTTGCTGTGGGGGCCTGGCGCAGTGGGTACCGATCGGGGACTCACACTAGACATCGCCTTCTTCAGGGGGCTGCGAATTGCGAAACTGTCACCACTGTCCAGGGCTGCTGTTGGGCACAGCGCAGTGCGGGGCCACGGGGGCTTAGACCTCGCCGTACCCTGGGGGGGGGCTGCGATCAGTGAAGGTGTCTCAACTTTCGAGAGCTGCTGGGAGGTCCAACGGAGTGGGGGACCACGGGGATTCTTATTAGATGTCGCCATCCTGGGGGTGGGGGGTCGAGGGCGGGGGAGCTGCGAACTTCGAAGCTGTCGCGGTTTTCCATGGCTGCGGGGGGTCCAGCGCAGTGCGGGCCTACGGGGACTCATCTTGGACATCGCCATTTTTGGGAGGCTGCGGACTGCGAATCTGCCGCCGCTTTTGAGGGCTGCTGAGCGGCCCAGCGCAGTGCGGGGCTATCGGGATGCAGATTGGACCTCGCCGTCCTTGGGGGGCTGCGAACTGCGAAGGTGTCGCCACCTTCGAGGGTTGCCCAGGGGTCCTGCACAGTGTGTGGTGGGTGCGGGAGCTCAGACTGGATCTCGCCATCCCTGGGGGTCTGCGAGCTGCGAAGCCGTCGCCAGTTTCGAGGGCTGCTGGAGGGTTCAGCACAACGCGGGTCCACTGTGACTGAAGCTTCGCCATCTCTGGGGGGCTGCGGTCTGCGAAACTGTCGCCATTTTCGAGGGCTGTTGGCAGGCCCAGTGCAGTGGCGGCCTACATGCACTCATATTCGACCTTTGGCGCGTTATAGTACTCACGCCCAGAGGGCTGGTGGGATTCTCCATGTCCCGTTGTTGATCGAAGGCGCCTACGGCGAATCGTCGCCGTCCCCTGCCTGTCTTAACCACCCATACTCCCAAACGTTGGCCCGAAGTCTGGCCAAACTATTTGACT